ATTTTTGAATTTTTGAACTTTGTACCGTTGTCACTCCCCAGCTTTTGAATTCTTCTCTGTAGAAGAACTTGAATCTTGGTCATCAGCTTTATCAACAGCTCTAGCACATCTGATTTCTGCCTTATAAACTCAATCCAAGTATATCGTGAGAATTCGTTGATTAGTACAAGGATATATTTCTTGCCAGACATGCTTTGTATAGAGATAGGACCACAAAGATCCACGTGAAGCATATGCAGAGGTCTGACACAGGAAACATCAATCTTTGCCTTATGAGACGCTCTTTTGAGTTTACTCATCTCAAATGCAGGACAAAAGATGATCTTTTTCGAACTTTACCAATGGTAGTCCGACAACAAAATTGTTTTTGACAAGCTTCTCAATATGTGAAAAATTGAGGTGAGATAGCTTGTGATGCTAGAGCCAGGCTTCTTCAATTTTACGAGATATGAGATAGAGTGTCTCTATACCATCTCTGAGTGAGAAGTTCATGAGATAAAGATTACCTTTACGATCGGCTCTGAGCATCTTTTGACCCGATTCTGATGACGCTAGTATTATTTGAGATATGATTTGTCCCCCTTGTTGATAGGAGTAGTGCCTCTATCTTTTGATAAAATGAGATTGAAGAAATACATACATGATCAAATAAATGATATATAATATTGAGATCTATTATTTATTCAATTTTTTTGGTAGATCAAGAAAACAAAGATCAGATTTAAGGAGAATGATACAAAACATATTATCGTCTTCAAATATAGACACTTAGGAGAAAGGGATATGTTCATATATTGAATTGATCATGTAAATTAATGACTGCATTGAATCAACTAATCTGTCATGTGGGTAGTGATAAGATGTTGCTAGATACCATTTCTCATTGTAATTATAAATATGATGCATAATTTATGTCATCATGATAATGTTCAAATGGGTCAATAAAATATTAAAATGTTTGATAATGAGAATTTTTTATTTATTTAGTTGTGACGTAAATTCATTAAACTATGACTAATTAAATAGATAAATGAGAAATATATTATTTAGGGGCTGTTTACTAACTGCTGACCGGACTGACTCGGTCAGCATATCTGACTCGGTCAGCAGTCAGTGTGTTTACTGATTTACCATTCTGACCGAAATCTGACCGAAACTCTGACCGAGAACTTACCGAGACAGCATGAAAACAATGCTTACCCGGGTCAGATTTATCTTTTCCATCCTTGCCCCCTTTACACGATTAGGTTTTCACGCTATCTCCCTGTCGCTCCTCCCCGCTCCCTCATCGCTCCCCCGTCTTTCCCGACTCGCGACGCTCCTCACCGTCCCTCATCGTTGCTCTCCTTTCATCCCCCGCGGTCCCGACACTCCCTGCTACCACTCGGTCGGTCCTCATCCCTCGTCGCTCATCCTCCCTTGGCTACTCGAAAAGGTACTTTCAAATCAACCAATTTTCTTGTTAAACGGAAAACCATGTCTCTCCCGACTCTGGCTGACCCACCATGGCAAGGCACAGAAAACCATGTGTAATAATAAGAAGAAAACACCAATCTTTCCTACATAAACTGTAACCTGGGTTCAAAGCAAAATCCAGAAAAGATCTCAAGAGGAAACTTCTTATGCATCTGACATTTTTGACACCAAAACCATTGTCTTGTATCCATATCATATATAAGCACAGCTGTTCCACCATAACTCTGTATGTATATCAAATCCCCACCTCCACTGCTTGCAAATACATCATCCAACTMCCCAAACCCCTGCATAAACTTTCTATTTTGAAAGTGTTTTCTGTCGCTGCACAGTTGTGCCTCTGGCTGACCCACCATGGCAAGGCAACCCATATGAAGAAAAAATGGTGGGCATTTGAAAAAGAAGTATGATGTAGTAGGGAAATGATTAGGAACACAAATGAAGGGAGAGAGGGAGCGTCCAATTAAAGAGGTATAGGCAATAGAACCACAGTAGGTAGAGAGATGGGACACCAGGAGGTCTTAAAAACTTGTACCTAGCCAAACTAGGTGGCCATAGAACCACAGTAGGTAGAGAGATGGGACACCTGGACCTTATCTTACCTTTTATATATATTTTTATATATATATATATATATATATATCCAACAACTCAAGAACATTGGCAATATTGGCAATTTATTTTGTTTTTTTTTCTTCCATTAAATTATTAATAACAAAAATAATAATATATTATTCAATATATAATTATAAATAGGGTTATAATAGTCATTATATTTTTGGTAAGCACTTATCAAAAACATTTGGTAAACATTCTTACCCGGGACAGCACTTACCAGGATAGCACTTACCCGGGTCAGCACTCTTACCCGGACAGCACTTACCCGGTATGATTTGGTAAACAGCCCCTTAGTCAATTGTAATTTAATTTAATTAAATTAGGATTAATTAATAAGATAAATATATGAAGCCATATGTCTAAAGAAAAATTCTTTGAGTATACAAGGATGCTTAAGCGTTAATTTTAATATACTTGAGAAAAACACTACTTAGCTGTAAAAACGTTTCTTTCTAAAATATTTACACACTCATATTGAATGTCTAGTAACACAGTAATTTATTCTCTCGTGACCCAACATGTATAACAAGAGCAAAGATGAGATGGTAAATTTTTTAATTCGATTATGCAAAGCTTGTAGCTCTTGTGATTAGTTATGAAATATGGGTGTGCATAACTAATACTTTGAGTCACTAGTCTTATGCTACGGTAACCTGGCTTTTGTGTTCTCTTCTATTTGGTGTGGGGAGGGGTGAATTAAGCTTGAGGGTTAAGATACCCTTATTTCTACTGTTGCAACCTCCATTGCTAAACCAGACCAAACAAATTTAATGAATCATATATATAATACGGCATCAGCATCTTTAAGGGTAAGATATACACAAACCTTCCCTTACCTCTACCCTATGGGGTAAAGCGGCTCATTCTCTGTAAAGACCCAACTTATAAAAAGTTTTAGAAAACATGATTTTGCAACAAAAAAGAACATATGGTTCTAAAGTTTAACCGAAGATTAGAATTAGAGGATACAGATAAACATAAATGGCAGAAAAACAGGTTGGGAAAGTCAAAGAACAAGTAACAAAGCTAGAAAGAAAACTAAAGCATGTACATACAATAAAGGCATATGAGAAGGGTGTGTTTTAGAACAGGTCTAGATTGCTTTTTACTAAATCATACATGAACACTTGTTCGGTTAATACATATGTCGAAGCTAATCTTTCTTACCTTACAATTGGTCGAAGTTTGATTTTAATTTATCATACTTGGATAGGTCTGGTCTTGAATAATAACTGCTTGTTGCTTCAGTTTTTGCCCCTCAAGCCCATCAAATGGTTGCTTTATTTTTGGCACCAAAATACTTGAGTTCGAAGAATCAACGAGCCCCCCATCAGTATGGTTATGGTTTCCGACAATAGTCTGCTCACCTTGCACGCCATGATCCTCATAAATGATGTTATCTCTAATATGATATGGTCGATTGTTACTTCCTACATATGAGTTGTTGCTAAGTTGTAGGCGAGCTTCTTCTTGTTTAATAACTACAGATATGGCGGCATCCTCTTTAGGCGTCATCTTACTTTGTAAGCTTTTAGAGTGTCGAATATAATTGTGAATATTGGAAATGTTGGGAGACATATGCCTTATGACAGCCATCAAAACACCAATTTTCATGATCTTTTTCATATCATGAGGTTTCTTATATGGTGGTGGGCAGTCTTGCTTTTGGAACCCAACTGTGGCCACCACTCTTCGTCTCCGGTGGGCCACCATGGTGGTGCAACACCCTTTCCCAATGGAAACCGCCTTTGAGGTGGATCACAGTGTTGCATAAGAGCTGACAAAAAACAACCRAGTGTGGTGTCAGGAAGATCTTGCAAGATGTAAGGAGTGGAAACCTCTGAAAAATGGTTAYTTTTTCCRACATTTGAGTTTTCTGCCTGGTGGTTGTTGATCACGGCAATGGCATTTTCATCAAACCGTACTCCTTCTTTCCACCATGCACGCAGATTCTCAGAGGCACCGCTCACTGGCTTTCCGTTCTCGGTGATAATTCCATAAACAAATCCCTGAGCCTTACAAACTTCCATCATCTTCGACAATTGTTTTAGGACGATATCCTGTAAACGGGACATCTTCTTTTGTCTTGCTTTCGCTACGGTTTGACATGGTGTTGCGGCTTCTACWCGATTGTTTCCTTCATTTTGCTCTTTAACAGACGTCAAAGGCATTTTATCCATCCAAGTTCTCCTTGTTTCCTCTTCAATGTCAACTCCTTTGCAGTTAGGTGCTTGCTGTTCGGCTTCAAGAGTCCTAAGATTATCAAAATCTACATAGAAATCCATATCTGCATAGAATTTGGTCTTCGCAAAACATAGTACTTCTTTACAAGGAGTTTCAAATGGAAACAACAAAACTGTTGAAAATGTAGAAGTATATCTCAATCTTAGGGGCTATTTATCTAAATGTTTACCCGATAAGCGCTTATTATTAGGAGTCTAACACTATAATTTATTATCTAGGTAAGATTGTAGTACATCAAAATGGTATTGTTTGCAACAATATATATGCTAAGCGCTTACCCGTGTAAGAGTCGTCACCCTCGCTTACCGAGTAAAACTCTCTATCCTTGTCATCGCTCTTACCCGATAAGATTATTGGGTCTTGCCATGTTCGTCCAGTGAGGAAAATTACCCGATAAACAACTACTCGGTAAGCGTTTAATGAACGGTCCCTTAAATGAATTTAATCAAAGGCATGTGATTGAAAAGGCCATTACAAGATTATTTTCAAACCAAAAATCCCCCCCCCCCCCCCAAAACTATTTTTTTAATAAGAAATAAGCGAATAATAATTAAAATTGGAGGCAAATAAATTACACTACAAGGGAAAATGGTTTTAGAGAAGGAAGTTTTAGAGAAGAATCCATAAGTGTATCTAAAAGTGATTTTTAGGGAAAAAACTATATGACAAAAGTGAAAAGTGTAACAAAAGGTAAGATAACTTTAAGAGAAAAATTTCAAACCAAAAAATATACTATGAAAATTGTCGCTAAAGCTTTTAGAGACGCTTCTTACATAAAGCGTTTCTAAAATYCAAATCAAAAGCTTTAGAAACGCTTTCTAAATCGTCACAAAAAATAAAGTATTTTTWTTTTTAGTTTTAAATTAAATAAAAGGTTTTAATTACACTTTAATGATTCTAAAAGGGTATCTAAAGGCTTTTTATTTTCAATAAATTATTTATAAAAAAATATAATTAGAAATTAAACGGAGCGTGTGTGTGCGTTCGGGAGTCGGGAATCGGGAGTGAGAGTCTTGTGCGAGTTCATACGATTTCTCTTCCAATTTTCAGTAATCGGAACACAATCAAATGTAAAATCAATAGTATCGGCTCTACGAATTCTAAGATTTCTCTTCGATTTTTCGATTTAGGGCTTGASGATTCATCGATTTCGGTAAGTTTGTCTTAACATCTTCATTTTGACGATTCATTGCAATCAATTAGGAATTATGTTTATACTTTGTTTTGGTTACATGATCGACTGATTTGAGATCGGAGGATCTCGTTGCATTAAAATTTGCGGCTGATTCATTGCAATCAATTAGGAGTTCGCTTAATTTGGTAAAATTTCCTTCTACGAATGAATTAGGATATTTGAGCATGGYCGAATGAGACTTGCAGATGTATTAGAACATTTTTCAATGTAAACGACTATACATATTCAACTGCTTCTCTTATTTGTCCAATACGATTTTGTAGGTCAGTATAACAAAAACGATGAATGCTCAAGCTTGCATTTTTTGCCCCTAAAGACATTTTCCTGTTGCTCTATGTATACAATTGATGGAGATTACCACGTTTTTAGGAAGACAAAGAAGCAAACACTTATTCTGATAGGAATTGATCATAAGATGATGTTATTTTCAAGCAAACAGCCAATCGTTGCTTATGTTCTCAGGGCTGGTCAGTGACAGAGTCTATGAGAATATTTTCTTGCCTGATTTGCCTTATGTCAAGGGTGAACATGGAAGCAAGTTCCCTAGTCCATCTTTCTATTGTGGAATCTTTTGTAGTTTTGTAATGATAGTATCTTGTACCTGAACCGGTGGCTCACTTTTTCTTTCATTGGTCCCAATTATGCCTTGGTCTGCTGCCTGTTCAGATATATATTTCCAAGTGAAAAATGATGAAGACACTCTGCAAACTCTTGCTTTTGGGGATAACCTTCTGGTAAGTAACATGGTCTGTGGCATATCATCTTATTGTGGAAGTCTGTATCCCTTTTGCCAGATAACATCATACTTTGTCGGAAAATAAAGCAAATATATCTTAGGTACTTCTATTGGGTCTATTTTTGCATTCTATTTCAAATAAATGAATGYTTTTCTACTACCCTCCTTCATGCTTTATGTAGACAAACTATTGTAAGGCTAATGGTAATAGTTCAACAGCTGACAAACCATTACAAATCCTACAAACCAAACACACCAAAGATTCCAAATCCTTCCAATTCCAAATTCTTCCATGAAATCCAAATTCCTCAAAACATTCTATCAAACCAAATGCCGCCTTAGTGTTTACCATTCACTTTTKTCTTTCGAGCAGCACTTCTATATTCCCAATCATTAGACATTKAGGAATTTTACATGTTTCTCATGGTAGTCTATAGTATGCTAACTCGGTCTTTTGCAACCAGTCATTTGTAATTGGGATAGGGATAGTAGGAAGAAGTAAAATGACTTGGTACAGAAAGATTAACTTTTGAATTTGGCCCTTCTTTTCATTCAAACTTATTAAACACTCATCTGAATGCAGCAGTCTTTTACAACTAGTCATTTGTAGTTGGCATAGGGATAGTAGGAAGAAGTAAATGACTAGGTGCAGAAAGATTAACTTTTGAACTTGGCCCTTCTTTTCATTCAAGCTTGTTAACCACTCATCTGAATGCAGCAAGTCATAATAGGCTTTGATACCACAGAAATGGTCAGTGAGATGGAGTYATTAGGTCAAAGTTAGAGACTATGCGTTCTTACCATCCGATGGATTTTGCTAAACAACTAGCAGAGGTAAGCATTTGGTACAGAGTGTTATGTACTGTAAAGAGTTATATGGATTTATATGAGAAATAAAGGATTTGACCTCTTGCTAAGGTGATTTTGAGCAGTTATCTATTCATGTATTTTGAAATATTTTATTTTTCCTCCACTTACGCTTAGTCTATCTCAATCTAATAGTGGATTTACTTGCTTTTGGGTAAACCTTTTCTGTTTTTCAGTTTGTATCAGATGTTCTCGTTAATTACATGGACCAGCCTCCTGCTGGTTTTGCTATTCAAGGCCTTCTGAGACCTGCATTTGTTGAAGAGGATTCCATCAACGAGCATATGTTTGACTATCAATCCAATGAGGAGAAGCAAATCAGATTGCTGAAAATAAAGAAGAAGATATAGGTGTTATTAATGGCCTTGGGCATGTAGTAGGTCCCTCTCAAGATGTTAAAAATTTAATAAATCACATCTTTTTGTCACATACTTAAGTGTTACACCACCCATGAGCCTATGTTTTATATTATTTGTAGGCATCCATTTACTACCCACGAGTGGATTTCATATTCAGGTATCTGAGATGTTATGAAACAATAAGTAAGGCAAATACATCATATTCCCTTCGAATAAATGTAATAGTTTCCTTTTGAAGATGTCCTAAATTAACTGCAGCATTTATCTCACTTTAGCTTTTTCTTTCATTTCATACCCCCCCCCCAACCTGCTTCTTCTAATTTCTAGCTCCTTCCAATGGATATAAATTTCTTATTATTATAAAATAAGAGATATAAAATATAACATAGACGCTCTTGTATTATTACCTTTGTATAAAATAAGAGATATAAAATCTAAATCTTCATAGTGGCAGCCTGGTTGTATTATTACCTTTGTATAAAATGAGAGATATAAAATCTAAATCTTCATAGTGGCAGCCTGGTTGTATTATTACCTTTGTATCTTGCATATTGTAAAGAATAATGTCAATTGACAATTTAGGCATCCCCTCCCTCAACATCACCTCCTCTTGTACCATGTTTGCATTACCATYTAACAGTGCTTATGAACCACTACACATGATTGTTACAGGTCATAATTCTAAAGTTAATGATTCRAGACCAGCTTTCTGGAACAAGRTATCAGATATTGATCTATAGGCAAACCAGTCACTTGCCTGTTTTRTATTTATTGCTAGRCAGGGGAWTCATTTATCTTTTGTAGCATTACCAAAGCTTGTGTACTTTATGATTGGACAAAGATATTTTTCATCTAATTGCTTACACTGACGAGATTGGGTTGAAAATAATGTTAATGATTACTATCGAAATATTTCTCTGTGAATTTACCTTACACACATGCTCTCTCTCTCTCTCTCTCTCATTTCTTCCTATATGTCAATAGAGACACTTCTTTTAATGAGTGAGGATACTACTTAATCAGCTTGAAGTGGGTCTTATATAACTTCATTACCATGTGCTTATGTTTCCAATGAGTTTATGGTCCAAAAGAGCCCTTGAGATAAGGGGGTTCCAACATATATAGAGGGGAATTTGTCCAAGTCTAACGATGTGGAACATGTAACCAGAATGCTTCCTCTTGCTTACTGAACACCAGCACTTCTGGAGCTAGCAGAAGTGATGATGGTAAAGGAGACACAATTGATCCGTCTTCTTGTAATAAGGTTAGTTAATTTCTGCAATTGTTATTAATTGGTCAACACTCTCTCTTTAACATTGAAGCTGTTGTTTCTGTTGGGATAACTATTATYATATTAATGTTCAAGGTACTGATTGACTATTAGTTAAACATCTAAGATACCTCCAGTAGTGACAGAATGGGGAAAGCTTGTGGACCAAAACTAGTGCCATCAATATTTYGTAATGATTATTAGTAAGCAACATATATGGAGGACGTGGAAAGAGCCAAAGGAATGAAGCCAACTGACTCRAATGTAACAGATGATGCTTGGCATATACTTTGCAATTATTGGAGTTCGGAGAAGTTTCATGTAAGTTGTTTTTGGATYTTGATATGCTTTGTCTTATAATTCAAAAMATGTCGGTAACTTTAATGTTGTTTATTTTCTATATCTTGAAAATGTCTTGGTAAGAAATATAAAAAATAAAATAAAAAGTGAACCAATTAAATTATCAATGTGCAAAAATCTTATTGTGTTCTTTATTTCTTTTGGTCCTAATTGTTGCATGTTAGCTATTTGRACCTGGATCAACTTCAACCAGGTTTAGTATAGAGTTGTGGAGGTGTTTCAGGTCTGCAACTTCTATCTTGATCTTCTATTGGGGTGTCTCCTGTTAATTTTGTATATACAGTAACAAATAAAAGCAGAGTTTGTGGTTTTTCAATTAGAAGATTAACCACTGCATATGAAACCATATTCCATAGATTTTCTAGATACCAATTTTATAKAAGTGAAAGTCTATATATAGCTGCTGTTTGTGAGTTTTATATATAGCTGTTGTTTGTGGTTTTAATACTACGTAGAAAAAGCGATGAATTGATTCACAATTTTATAAAAAGTAAAAGTCTATATATAGTTGTTGTTTGTGAGTTTTATAAATCACTAAGATTTATATATATGATTTTTATGTCCATAGGAGAACATGGTAGAGATCAAGCGGCAAATTGATTGAACCGAAAATMCTTCGGGTGATCTAGAGATTATGCAACAAGTCTTAAGTAAAAGACTTGCATATACTCGGCGATGGTTGGGGAATGGTCTAGGGTCCCGAGCACTAGGAGCGATTCTACGAGCTCGCGACATAGCACCGGTGTGTCAGGTCGATTGAGCCACACCGAGATGTCTAATCAACTTGCTTCAACAGAGTCCGAGCTTGCTTCAACCAAATCCGAGCTCTTTCTTATGAAAGATGAATTCGYTGAGTTGCGACAAATGGTGAGGTCAATTGTATCCGGCCGRTCAGTTCCAASTTTTTCATCTTCATTAACTATTCAAGACCAACGTTCGGAGACTCAAGATCGTTAAACATGCTATGATGATTTTGGATGTTTTTTTGTTGATAAATTTAGA